AATCAAAAAAGTCAGCAGTAATAATGAATGGTCTTGATATAGTTCAAAAACAACATTTATGACCCAACACTTGGGCTGGCTCAAAGCCATGAACAATATTTTTACAAAATTAGGCCTTAAATACTTATTTTTTAATTTTTATTTTTTTATTTTTTGCTTTGATTCTTTTTCAAATTTGCTTACTTATTTTGTTTCTAATATCTTTGCTTACCTACTCTATTAAAAATTGTATTAGATGATACACTTTTTCAAACATTATTTCATTCTTTAGTAATCTATAGTAATAACAAATTCTTATATCTTCACTAAGTTGTTAATAATATGCACATCATTGATACTAATAATTCTATAGAAATATACTTTGATCAGTGCTAATATATTGTTTTCTGCCTTATCTTTTATATTATTAGGAACTTGATATATAATTTCAGGTTGATTATGGCATTTGTGATTAAGAAGAATATATCCACAATTAAATTCAAGATTTAATTGAATTATTAACATTCCTTCACACTTATAACATTGCATATGTTTTCTATTTAACTCTTTATATTTAGTATAAACTGTTGATTGTGAACATCAATAATAGCAAGTCATGATTTTTTGTAGATGAATTTGCAAATAGTTGGTCTTCCAATAGCTTAAATAAATAATAAATATTAAATATTTTTTTTATTTTTGTATAATAATTAATTTTTAATTCATACTGCCACTTAAATCTATCCTGTTTTTCAATTTCTTGATATAATATATTGGCAATTTCATTTAAAGTTATATTATAATTATTTTCACCAAAATTTACTTGAATATAAAATTCAAAAATATCATTGGTAGTAGATTCTAATTCATCTAATTCATCTTGAATAAATTATCTAAATTCTTCAAAGCTTAGTTCGACTACTTGATTAGAGTAAAATAACTTTTTTTTGACTTTATTGTCAAGGCATTTTTTGCATATTTTTTTAACTTTTCCAAGTTTAACAAATTTGTTTATATTTAGATTAGTATTACATGATGTGTATTTCATTTTTGTTTGTTTGTTACTCAGGTTTGTAAGGAGTTTTTATACTTATACTAATAAAAAAATATATTGTTACATGATATTTAATATATAAAATTGTAAAATTTTGTGATAATATCTAATAAGCATAAACTATAATAGTAAATATATTCTTTGCTATAATATAAGTTTAGCCTTGAGTTATCCAAAATCTTGTTTAAAGTAGACTTATTGCTATAAAGTAATTCAAATAATTAGCTTTAGAGTTATATTTAACTATATATTTTTATACTTTTATTTTAGTGCAAAATACTAACAAAACTATATATATACATACTATATTTTTATAAAGAAAGTTTTATTTTTTTATATTTCTATTCAATTATTATAAAACACATCTATAGTGTTTTAGCACTATATATAATTGTATTTAATAAAATTTAGAGAAAGAGTTTAGTTATTAAAAATTATTTTTTTTTATATAATATAAAATAAAGCTAATATAAGGCCTGATCTCAGTTTTTGTGAGGTTTTGGAGTCCTGAATATTTTTACTTAGAGTACCCAATTCTATTTACTTAGTACATTTGTAAGAAATAAAGATTTAGGTAGTAAAAC